AAACCGCGGAGCATTTCCCGGCACTGGCGGATCGTTTGTTGACGGGACCTGAGCCTGCGGTGCTCTGGCTTCCTCCGGATCCCGATTGTTGGCTGCTGCACAGTGGCTGGATCAAATCTGTATGGACACCAGGTACCGCAGTTTGACACTCATTCTAACTGTAACTGTTAACGCAAAGTCTATATATTGAAATTTTAAGAAATGTTCAATTTATGAAACCAACAGACATTCTGTAGTACTATATTTGATATTGTGATTTGCCTCACCATAGATGAAGTCTTGCTCATTCTTGGACAGTATGCTGACAAGGTGTGCCGACAAATCTTGGCAGACTTGGTCGGCGTCGTTCCATGCCATCTTTGTATCTCCAGACACGCAATATGACGCGCCTTCAAACTCTCTCCAAGTATCATTGCTTTGGCACAGACCTAGATGTTTGAAAATAAACATTATTATTTTGTTTGAAGGACAGGTTTCACGGAATGACCGGAACATGTATAATGAACCAACCTTTAGTAGCCCAAAACAGTAGCACAGATGGGTTGCACCAAGTAAGCCCAACGCAATTAACGGCAAATCTACTAATCACGTTTGTAATATGGCTTGTTTTATATATGATAGAATGGCAAAAAACATATGCATATCAACAGCGACGCCACCTGTACTAACAGCAAAGAAAACATTGTGATATGCTACATACCATCCTCTGTAGAGGCTGAACTGTGAGCGCTCCCTGAGCTTTTCTTCGCGGACTTAGGGCCTTTGGAGGTGCTGTCGGTGCCATTTGATGCATGGCCTTTTGACTGTTTACTGGTACTCTCAGATGGGGCTACGGAATGGAACAAGACATAATATCATTTCCTACATATTCAGTCAGGTGCTGCTAACTGATATTGCTACACCTAATATTGTGACAACTACCAGTTCATAATGTCAATTAGCGATGAATGAACGGGAGAATATGTCAGCATGAGCGTAAAAAAAGAGTTAAGATAATATGCTACATACCACTTTCTTCCGATGAGGCTTTATTACTCTTAGGGCCTTTCTTGTTGGCTGAACCAGAACCTGCCGAGGTGCTGCCGGTGCTATTTGATGACTTACCTCCTGACTGTTTACTGTTACTCTCAGGCCGGGCTACATGTTTACGGGACGGGAACAAGGAATGGTGTGACTTGCTATCTGCCAGGTGCTGTCAACGCTCCATTTTAATTACTACCATGCCACACGCATTTTATATCTATGGATACACGCAAGGCAGAAGAAAAACTATCACAAAGCAAAACGTTCAATATGCTACATACCAGTTGTTGTTAAAACCTGCGATGATTCCTTATTACTTTTAGAGCCTTTTTTCTTGGCTGAACCAGAACCTGCGGAAGTGCCGCCTGATGCATGGCTTCCTGACTGTTCACTGTCGCTCTCGGGTTGTGCTATGTTCGTAAGGTGGGGAAAGGAATAAAACAACTTGCTGTCTAGATCTGCTGACCGTCATTATCAGAAGGGTAGCCCCAATGTCGAAGATGACCAAATGACTATCAATCACATGTGCCATATATAATCGACAACAGAAGATACACATGTCAGTACCCACAATAGAACGATATGATACGTACCGGTCGCTGTTGAAGCTTGCGATGAATCTTTGCCCTTGGAGCTTTTCTTCTTGCCGGAACCTGATTCTGCAGAAGTGCTGTCAGTGCTGTCCGCTGCCTGGCCTCCTGGATGGGTACTGACGCTCTCGGGCTGGGCTAAATGCATACGAGTTGGGAGCAAGGAATAATAATAACTTGCTGTCGAGTGCTGCCTCCCATCAATACCATAAAGCAAAGTTATGTGTCATATTACGGCAAAAGAAGATACCGTTTAGATATGTCATAATCCATAATAGAAGATGTTATATTGTGATACACACCAGTCGTTGTTGAAGCTTGCGATGAATCTTTACCATTAGAACCTTTCTTCTTACCGGAACCTGATTCTGTGGAAGTATATGAGAATCAATCAAACGACATCTTGTTAAATCAGTGTCAAACAGGTTAAATGTACACTTCACTACTGGTAGTCTTTGTTCACTACTATCCGTTATCATCACAATCGTAGGAAAATTGTTATGTTATGTTTTTTCTGGCATCTTGCGTATTCATGAGAAAGCAATTGCTTATCTATTAAATGCTTATTCCATTACGTATTTCTATTTCTAATTATTAAGTATTTAACGCCATGAGACCATTTACAGATACGCACCAGCCACAGGTGGATTTTTGTCTTTTTTCTTTGCAGATCGTTTTCTGATGAAACCTTTGGGAGAGCTGTTATCGTCATCAGATGTCGTTGTTCCTGAAAGTTCATCGTCACTCTCGGACTGAGCTGAATCTGTTATAAAGTAACAAATAACTCCTTTATGGGTTTTCACTACACATCAAAAGCTGTTGGAAATCATTTAACATCTGCATTTAAGAACATATATCTATAGATTTTATGGGCATCCCCAATATGCTCAAATAACCATATATGGCCAAATATGTATCTTGATATGGCAAGATTTTATAACTCATGTCCTCTTATTGAACACTCTTACATGTGCACCTGTAGGTGTGCCCTGAATGCACAGTTATGTGCATATGATTGTAAACTATACCACTTGATTTCTCTAGACATTTCTACTTGTAAGGAATTGATTTCACAGCATCTTACTTGATATTACTTTAGGCATAGGTACGTCGATGGTAATCTGAGTTCTGGAGTCCACGTCCGGTTCCTCGCATACAAAAGAACGATGATCCCCTTCGCCAACTGTGTGCCATTCACCATCCCACGTCACTGTGTACATTGTTTTGTCTGGAAATGCTGGTTCACCTTCCCGCCACATCGTAAATGTCTACATAGGACATAACCAAAGGACACTTCTTTTTACATGTTCTTCTGACCATGATAACTCACCAGCGGTGCGAGGTATCTCAACATCATATAAAATGATTCATAATGTCACTTATAATCAAAGATCCCTGTTAAGGGCATCTAGACTTAGATCTAGCTAGAGCTAGAGGAGTATGGAGGAAATGCTTTACAGGTACAGGTACTGAAGACATTTAATTTCTACTGTACTGTACTGTACTGTACTGTACTGTACTGTACAGTACTGTGATGTTTATATGTTTAAATACATGCTAGACCTGACGACAATTCAGACTCAGATCAAATTTTCATTGGTTGTTTTGCATGTAATACCTCATCATGTTGGGCCATTGACAGAATTTACATTGGGATTATCTAAATAGCCATTTGACGCTTTATTTCTAGAACTGGTATTAAAACTTTTAAGAACATGATCGTGCAGGCGCTTAGAAACAGCTTGAGATGAGCACTGATGTTGCCACCTTATTAATTACCGGCATGATATGTGTGAATGATATTGCCAATAAAGATCAAATATGTCCCTAAGGAGGCAAGTCCATTAAGAGGCATTAGCTGTCCTTCCGCTGAGCATCATCTTTGGAAGCCTGTCACGCGACAAAATTAAGATGACCGTTCGGTCAATTACAAGGAATTTGCCTTTATCTGACCCAGGGACAAACTCCTCACAATCATTTTAGATACAAGGTGACATATATTAGTAACATACAGTAATTGCTCTCTGTAAATATTTTCTGATACCGTGATTACCTGTCTGTGTATTTTTTTCAAAGAATGTCTTTAGTGCTAGCTTAGTGCATACTCTGTATGCACTCTTAATCAAACACGCGTAAAGATTCATTTCGGCACACTTTACATAAAATTTACAAGTGCTTAAATATTACATTTGCACTACCTTTTTATACACCGAATATTGCACTCAACGATAAAGGAATGAATTTACATAAAGATATCAAAGTTGAGCCTACACAAAGGAGAGTCTCTGCGTGACTGACCTATGCACCTACAAGTTACAGTACAATGGCCTTGAGTTCCCTTTGACTATGACAATGACAAACACCAGGTCTGCCAAATGTCACGTTATCTCAGGAGTGCTGTCATCCTCTTACTGAGGATAAAGGCGATGCATTACCGGTCACGGAAACGACTTCAATTACTTCTTAAATCATTTATTGACCTTTCAACGTCTTCATGTCTTCATTGTCATGTGAACGGCTTCATCACATGTCAGAGTTCACCAGAACTGGCCTTGGAATTTTACATGAATGGCTATTGCAAACGTGTGTGTTAATTGAATACTATACAAACTATTTTTACTATAATAAGAACACTTTTATTTTAGTTTTATAAGCACTCATTTAATGATTCTATGCTTTGCTTTAACTAAAATGATAGTTTGTATTTCTGTAATGACACTCACTACAGGACCACCATCTTCCCAGAAGCATCCCGAATCATCCCCGTCACCCGTGATCTTAACACATCTCATCCCCAGGAGGGCAGGCGTGTTCCCGGGGACGATTTCTAACGACAAGGAAAGAGTTATATTAATTAGACTAACATCCTGAGCTCCAGGTATTCACAAGAATGATGTCATGTACATGTAGAATTCTAACATAACCATTAATCGTTGTACATACTATGATTATGTCTGTCTGAAAACTAGATGGGATGTATATTCTGGAAAGAAGTACAGATAGAGGCATATGACTGAATCATAAAATAACATAGCAAAAACATCTGCAAGAAAATATGGATATTGGTTTTCCCCAAGTAGCATGATGAAATTTTATTGTCCATGCCAGTTATATGAAATGGATGTCTTACATAAAAACGGTACTTACGGTTAATGAAGACTTGTTCCTGTGAAGACCGAACCCTGGCGACGCTCGTTCCCATGCTCCGGCAATACTGTCGAGCACGTTCCCATGTTCTCGTGTCAGCTTGGCTGAACCAATACTGTCTTCCTTCAAAATAATGCCATCCGGCTAAATAAAAACAGCAATTAAGACAACGCTTAACGTTGAACATACATGCTAATGGATTTCCAATGTAGCACACCTTTATATACTGTGTAACATCTCGAAAAGGTTAACGTTGATCAAGAGTAGGAACTCATGCCGCACTTGCATACGTCTTTTTTATTACTAAAGTTACCAAACAGTATATTTGCTACCTTTGTTTTCGTCAGTGAATTCTATTGTGCATCATATGCATAAAGTATCTACATAGAATTCCTGGTACATTTTAAGCCGTCTTTATGTTGTTGGCTGTGTTTTGCAGCTGTACCTTTTTTTTTTGCTAGAACAACAAATTGGCGATTTGATGGTAGGATTAACAAGTAATGCAGTTATGATACATTTATTGTTTTGGTTGAATTAACCAAACGCATTGCGATATACAATTAAGCACATTCTATAAATGCAGTCTAAATGAACCTAACAGACTGAAATGTCATCTTACCTTGTGCAGCGCCAAGATGCAATGCCACCAAGAACAGCAAACACCGTGCGGATAGAAAATCCCTTTTCTCAAAAAAGTTCATGTAGTCTTTAGTTCATAGTGGTCTGACTATAGAAACTCATTAACAAAACTAGAAATCTATAAATTGGAAGAAACACTAAACTAAACAGCCTTTTGATTGAGTTGGGGGACTACATGTCGAAGGAGCAGCTTTGAGTTTCGACGAAAATGGGTAACTGACAGGGACTCAGGTATGATGATCCTTGATATTGAACAGTGACCTTTGAAGTAATCAATATTTTACAAAGTTTTACATCTTTAACTAGTTAGTTAATGATTAACCAGGGACAAAATGACAATGACCAGGACATTTGTCAGGGGAGTTCCCTAAGTGCCCTTTTCAACGTGTAGGACAAAGATGACATTGCCTATGATACATTATACATTGCATTATACATTATGTATTGAAACGTTATTATACATTGTGTAGAAATGGAAGGATAGTAGGCATCATTCATTTAAGTTACTGAGTAACTTTCAAAGTATAATTAGTAAGGCATTTGAGAAAGGCAAATCCAAGTTTGACTGGAAGAATCGAGGAACTTTTCTCATTGACAACCCATAGTTTGAATTGAAATCGAGTATGCTGTGTGTTTTCCTCTTCTCCTGCAATGTTGACTCAAATTCAAAGCAACACAATAGTTTTGAAATCTTTTCAAAACTATTTCAATTATTTCCTGAAGAAGACAATAATATGATAATGATATTTGGCTACTTTTGAGACTTTATTCCTGTCTTGGATATGATTCACAGAGCATCGCATCTGGTAAAATATACACATGATAACATTCACAAAATCTGATACAAATGCTTTTTATGTATAAAAACAAATACAAATAATTGCATCTATGTTATAAAACACGTGGTATTGATGGCAGGTTTTCATCAGTTACCAAGAGCTTGGGCTATTGATATGTCTACGTTATCTTCATGTGCTAAGATGTTTCAACATGTTTGTTTTAAAACCCCTTTTGCAATGTTCCATGTCCAAATTCAATATTCGCCGCAGCTAAAATAACACATTTTAAAAAGATTTATCACTAGGAAGTCTAAAATATAGGTCAACGATTCAAGTAAGTCGATGACCTACTGGAGCTCAGCGGCTTTTATCTGGAAGAATCGAAACAGCCTACTGAATGCAAAATACCTAGTCAAAAGACCGAGCAATCGATATGATGAATGTTCATTTTAAGTGCCTTCAAGACACTTGAGTTGTTTCTTGCTATGGAATATGCCATTTTCTAGCCTTAAATGTACGTAATTTTGTCAGCAGTCGTTTGAGTGTTCGAAGGAAATAACCTCTCTCTGCAGAAATAGCTGAAAAACACTCACTGTCAATAGTTTCATTTTAGACGATGTCATTCGGTAATACAATACAGAGAAATTCGAAATTACGTTGTTAAGAGCTCGGTCATGTCCATTGTGCGATCGTCGTACGATCATAAACCGATGACATCCTTTGGCTATTCGTGCATCTGCCGTAAACCTCATCTGTCTTATTGAAGAAAGGCTGCCGTAGACCTTTGTTTTCGGTTGTTTTTGTAACAGCCTGCTTGAAAATCCTACAACAACAACATCGTAAGAGACCTATGGCGAATGTGACCACGCTATAACGGAACAACAGGCACCTGTACCATACGCAATTA